GAAAACAGCAAAAAATTACACTTGTCCTTGAAAGTCCTTGAATGTTTTTTTGGGGATTGAAGTTTTGTATTCACACAATTGATTTAAATTATCTGTAAAAAAATAATAATAATTTTAAAAAAACTGTTGCAGTGGAGAAATCAGAATAATGGGAAACTGACGTGGCTTTCAACAAATAACGTGAGCCATAGTCATAGTTTTACCCAATCAGAGCAGAGTAGGGCGGGTTGTTCCTTCTGAGCCCAGATGAGAGCACCACAGCTCCTCTGTCCAACCTCCCAGGACATAACATGTCCATGTATTGTGGATATGACTGTAGGCTATACATTTAATCCACTTTCTTTCATTGATTCTGGCTCAACAGCTTCTGTTGTTCAGTTTTTCATTAAATTTACATGATATTAAACCTGTTTATTGGTAACATTCTGTGATAGCAGTAGGTAATTGCCGTCATTCGTGGTTCTTGAATTTGAGAAAATTGGTACTAAAAAGTCCTTGAAAGGTCCTTGAATTTGATGTTGACCAAGGTGTGGGAACCCTGTTCTTTTTTAAAGTGTTCCCATTTGATGCCACTTCCTGTTTCACTTTGCAGCCAAGTTAAAAAAATATGCCAGTTAAGGGGGCAAAATGGGTTAAATCTTGTGCATTATTCCAACTTTCTTAAATATAAAGATGTTTTCTTTGACTTTTTGTGTTTGAAGAATATGCATGYCACAGGCACTCTAAGTTCTAGTATTGTGACCGTTTTTATTGCCTATTGTCTAAAAGTCATTGGCAGGGGTTTGTTTGTACGTACTGTTAATAAAATATCTCATGAATCAGTGAATGGGTTTGACTGAAGCTCTCAGAAAGTAATTGCTGGATGTACATCTCCAGCTCATTTGGAGTCAACTCCATTAAAATGGGTGCCACAGCTAAGCTACTAAAGCAAAGACCAAAAGGGCCATGGCTCATTTTTACAGATATTGGAATGAAAACTTGTGTGTTTGTATCTGACGGTCTTTTTTTTTCTATTTGTGATTTGATCATGTGAAATGTTTGTTTGAAACTTCCACTTTAGCAGTCATCTCTGACTGACTGCTAGCAATATACAGTATTACCCAAACCACTAAAGGGATTTTAATGAAACTCCTTGCTTGTACACCTACTACTGAATAACATTTGAGTCAGTTCAAGATGGCYGCCACAGCCAGTCAACATTAGCCAACACAAAACTGGCAGTTTTATCAAATCTAAGTTAAAATTTGACGTAGCAGATGACAGCCGTTTCACGAAACCACCCAGTGTCGTGAGATTGAGCATTGTGTTATTAACAGTTGTGATGCTGTCCCTTCTTCATAAGACGATCTTAGACTAAAGTTCGGGCATGAAATATGTCATTTGTAGGCCCTTAATTAATRCTTTGAATGTTTTCTAAAATTTCCTGAGCTGACTGCCTTTTTCACCTGCAGACTTGGGTTGGCAACAAAAGGCGAAAACTTGCCTCCAAGGTCGATCAGAATGGAAGTCCGTCTCAATCCCTGTCTGGTCACGGAATAGCTGGAGGTCTGCTGTCCAATCCCACGTTGGCTGGAAGTGCGCTATCCAATCACGGCCTGGCGACAGGTGCGCTGCTTCCTGTCGACATAGCTGCAGCACGGACCATCCCGAATCGTGTGCATCTCCTTCCTCCATCCTCCTCTTTCCCTTCTTTTTCCTCAACATCTTCCTCTTCCTCGTCCTCCTCTCCTCTCAGCAGCAGCAGCAACAACAACAATAACGACGTGATCCTGACTGGGATCTACTCTCTGACYTCTGCTCCACGATCCCGGACGAGACCCATAGTCCCCCAGTCTCAGTCGGACTCTGAGCTTTCGGTGCATGCGTCTCCATCTTTGATCAACCAGGTGCTGCAGAGCAGGACCAGCACTTCTTCCTCCCCCATCCAGCCCAAGATCCTGTCCCTCTCTCAGACTCTCCCACCCATCACATCTGCCTCAGGACCTTTAGTCTACACTGCAGTCAGGAAGGGCACTTTATCCACTGGGGAGGCGGGGGCAAGTGCTTCATCGGGGGTCGTACCTCACAGCTGGACTAGACAGTATGGTACAGCACAACCCCGCCTGTGGTCTTCTTCCTCACAACCCCAGGCTCAACCTCAGCCCAGACCTCACTCCAACCCCCAACCTCAGCCCAGACCTCACTCCAACCCCCAACCTCAGCCGCCACCTCCACARAAACCCCGGGTCTCCCTCCTCGCCCAAAACGCTGGCTCCTCCTCCGAGCAGACGCCTCGTATTCAGCAGGTCTTCACCCTGTCAGGAAAGGGCGAGGAGCAGCGACTTAGACCCGGCAACACGTCTGCTCCGAGGAACCAGGAGACTCGCAGACCATCACCTCGCCCTCTGGACTCTAGTCATAACTTCTCCATTGCCATGGAAACTGGAAATGAAGAAGRTGAGTGGCAGAAGGAAGAAGAGCTGGCAAACATGGCTGCTCAAACACACATCCACAGGGAGCAGACGTTAACCAGCCCGACAGGAGCTGAAGTGTCGGTTGTGAGAGGACGAAGCACTCCTCCCCCGGCCGGCTCCAGACCCGCAGTGCTTCATGGGAACTCAACACTTCAGGGCAGCTACTCGTTCACAGAACAGACCTCACCTTCAAGAGAATCCAGCTCTCAGGTGAGACGAGCTCCGGTGTCAGCACACTGACACTTGAAGGCGTATAAAAAGATACTAATGAGTGTTTTTATGTGTAGACCTCACTTGGCATTTCTGCAGCCCCCTGGGTTATGAGCAACTCCAGAAAGAGGACCGTAAGTGCTTTTTATTAAAAATGTGCACAGTAGAAAAACATTATAACAGTTTTAACTAGTAGAGTTATACAGTCATGTAATTAGGTTCAATGGCTGATGGCAAATGTTTTCAGTATTTTAAAATGAGATAAATACAACCTGAAAGAGTAAATCAGCTGTTACAAAGTGTGAATATTTAATTACACCTACAGTGATGGAAAATAAAAGTACAACCTCATTCAGTTCTATAGTTTCTCCACATAAGAACATAATAAACTGTTCTTTTTCAGTTTCTAAGATAATTCAAATCTAATCTTAAGTTCATGATGACACAATTAAAGGGATCCATGATTAGTTGTAACATTAGACTTTATTTATGAACATGTAACTGTAAATGTAAAATAAAGACTGTAAAAATACTGTAGGATGTTCAGGTTTATCATTTTTAAACTAAAATTTTAAAAATATATTAAATGGACGAGGCCATTTTATTTACACACAAAGCATTCTGGGTAAATGACGACGTGGATAGGTCATCGGTGCGATGTTGCTAGCGAACTATAT